AACACAAAAGATGATTTAATGTGAAAAATATTAGAACAGATAATCCAGTTGCAAAAACGGCAAGGAGGCCACATGTTCTGACCTCCTCTAATCCCACAAGAGGAAGACAGGATTACCAGCAGTAACCCAAGGCCTATTCCTGCCAGGCCAGATATGCTGCCTCCCTCCAGCCCTTTCTCCAACCGTTCCTCCCAAAGCACCCACCACCTCTCTCCTGGGTTCGATAATTCGCTGCAGTGACCACACAGAGCTCACAGATTATGTATGGGGTTTATTAGGGAAGCACAACAGGCTACAATTCAAGTTCAGGAAAAATGCTTAGCCTCTCTCCCAGCCCACCGTCCCTCAGCCAACAGTCTCTCACAGTCTCTTTCCCAGCAGTGCTGGTCCCTCGGTGTCTCACTCAGCAATGTATGTCTCTTGTGTCTCTTTCCCAGCAGCACATGTCTCTTTCAGGGGCGCGTGTCTCTTTCGGCAGCACATCTTCCTCAACCAGCACTCAGAGAGAGTTCTGCCTCTAGGAGGCCTCCTTTTGAGCCTGGCAGGGTGGTCAAATTGGCCGATCATAGAATCAGAACTTTAAGCACCTGAGAGAGAGTGAGCACCTCCCAGAACATTGCTTTGTGCCACTCCCAACAGAAATACTCCAGGTGGACAACTTCAACAATCAGGAGCCCATAGAAAATCCCACCTTGGAGTTTACAAAGACTTATGGTAGAAAAGCCACACTAAGTAATTTACTACACCACACCAGTATATTTTGTGAAGGAGCTCTGTGTATGTAGCTGCTGTTCTGAATGTGTGCTTTCAGTTGCACTGCAGACCTGCTAAAATAAATTATAGCCCTAAATATTGCTAGAGCATTCAAAAAATGATTTCTTTAGACATTGGAGTATATCTTCCTCGTACAAATGCTATAGTTTAGTTTTAATAAATTGCTTTTTCTACTTTAAGCTAGAGTTTTTTAAAAAGTTAACATAAAAAAGGATATATGTAGCGAGGGCCTTGGTGGCACAGTGATGAAGCATCCATTTGCTAACCAAAAAGTTGGCAGTTTGAACCCATAGCAGCTCCATAGAAGAAAGGTGAGTCAGTCTGCTTCTGTAAAGATTATAGCCTTGGAAACCCCCTATAGGGCAGTTTTAGTCTGTCTGTAGGGTTGCTGTGAGTCAGGATCTACTCAATGGCAATGAATGTCTATAAAATAGAATGTTATGTGATTTGGCCATTGTGTGAGCATCTGTGTCCTGTGGGGTGTGAGACTCCCAATGGCAGTATCCTGGGGTGCACCCAGGCATCTCCCACTATGGACATCTCAGGTGAGCTCTGAGCTGGGTCTTGTCCACTGTTGCCACCTTCTATGCTAAGCTGGATGCAGAGAAGGCCAGCTCACATTGTGAGAACCTGCCTGGGGTAGGGATGGTGCAGGCCAGGAGGGCCAAGGGTGCCTGAATTAGGTCTGGGGTGCATAGGTCACATACTTTCTATTGGCACCCAATGGGACCACATCAGGTAAAACTAGGGGAATAGATTTGCTGAGTCTTAGGTGCAGAGGGGAACCCCAGGGTATGTGGTTTGGGCCTGGGCCTCCATCACCGCAGACTAGTGGCTTCTGGCTGCATGGGGCAGCTGGGCAGAAGTGGGGCTCTGATCTCAAGATGAGGGTCTGCCATCCTGGTGCTTAGACAGCAGTGTGCCCGAGCCCATGGACATATATGCAGTTGGACACTGCCCAAATGAACATTGAGCAGCACACGTGTGTGTGTGTGTGTGTTTGTGTGTGTGTGTATCCCCAGCCTAAATTCCCCTCTGCCATTGAAAGTCATCCATATAATGGATCTGAAAGCTATAAGTGGACCTTGGTCATAGCCCAATTTTTGTACCATTCAAGGTCAGGATTAGTGTCTCATGAATCTTGTTTCTGCCCATTATTTTTCTTGTTGTTATTAGGATTTAAGTTTTGTTGAATTTGTTAATAGACTACCATCACATTAAGAAAGTTATGTCTATTAGTTCATAAATATTTTTTTACTCCTGCTTAATGGATGATAATGTGCACAAATCTGCCATACTTGAGCCATTGGAGATGTAGGAAGAAGTTAATAAAATTGTGTCATTACAAAATTTGGGAGGTTTCAAATTTAGTTTCTAAAATTCAAGTTGTAAGAACTCATAGAAGGCTAGAACTTTGCACATGAGAGATTAGCTTTCTAAAAGCAGTGTATGTACAAATAGAATATAATACAGCATGAAGAAAAAATATAAAGTCAAGATCTTTTCATTTGTTTTCTTCTGCTATGTTCAAGGGTCTAAATTTTTAGTTGCTAGAAAATGCTTTGGAAAGAGAAAGGAAAGACTTAGGAGGAAGGGAGGGAAGAAAGGGCAGATCAGAGGAAATAAACCAGATACTTTTATGGGCTGGGTTTAAATTCTATAACTAGGAAATTATTACCACCACCAAGTGTTAGATATCTATCATGTCTTGGACAAGGGAAGCTGTCTAACATTCTTAATTATTTGTAGTGAGTATAGTGAGATGGGAAGTTTTTCAGATTCACAGAGTAATCCTAGTCTTATTGTAGAGGGTAAGATTATGAGAGGATAATATCCAATTTAAAGGCCTAAGGAGCAGCAGAGAACACAGGTATGTTCTAGGCTTTATATATCAATCAAGGAAAGTTGTTAAAGTTGTCTGTTTACCTTTCAGCTGGTTTTTTTGGGACATAAATTATATCATAGAAGGCTGCATGGTTGTGTGGTATAGATTTTCTGTTCTTCAGAAACTCTAGAGCTTTAGTTAAGGCTTGATAGCAGGAAGTTTGGGACACATTTGTTTAGAAGCTATCCTCTTTCTTAAAAAGCCTCTCGAGAATAATTCTGATCCTGATCAGTGCCTCCTTCTAAATTTGATGGGGTAGGTGAAAAGAGGGGATTCAACTAGATTTGTTTGTATGTGTGTGTTTCAGACTCATTTGGAGGACTGCTATAAGAGAAATTCTGTGAACTTCCATTTGTGCCTACCTTTAAGAGACTTTATAATGAAATTCAGACTGCTTGGTTATTTTAAAAAATAAATAGGTAGAGAAATTGCAGTATCCTTCATGGGTCTGATGTCCAACATCTTCTTTTCCTCCAAGATTATGAAATAGAATGAATATTTTAAGTTACCTAAATTCATGGAAGTCATTACATGAAAAAGGAAGTGTCTTAAATATGAGAACTCTCACTGTACTCTTGAGCTGTCTTAAGGGCTGCATTTGTCTATTCTCCAGTTTTCAAGTATAAGATTAAAAAGCAACTTACTTCTTTGGAAATGCTATCTATTGAGTTGTTGTTGTTATTTGCCGTTGAGTCGGCCCCGACTCATAGCGACCCCTCCTTGGGTTTCCGAGGCAGTATCACTACAGAAGTAGGATTGCCCAACCTTCATTCCGAGGAGTGGCTGGTGGGTTTGAACCTCCAGCCTTCTGGTTAGCAGTCAAGTGCCTTAGGCACTATGCTACCAGAGCTCCCATCTATTATCTATTGAGATATTCTGCTATATTTAGTGTTTACTATTCCTCACTTTTAAAAGATAAAAATATACTTAAATTTATGAACAGATGAAATAAAAATATTTTAGTAGGCAAAAATATTAACAGCTAAATAATCTTTGTTCCTTGGGTAACTGCAGAGAATAATTGGGCTTTCTTCACAAAGCAGTCCTAACTGGTCTAGTTGCTATTACTCTCAACCTTTGCTGAGATGGTCAGACAGATGAATGTGAACTTGATTTAAAAAAAAAAAAAAAGAAAATCAGATTGTCTTACTAAAACAGTAGAGGATAATTGAATAGAAATTTTATTGCTGAGTACTGTGTATGTATACCTAAAAAATTATATATAATATATACGGTGTTTAATCATTTCTTTGTGTTGGGAGGCAGTTTTCTATGGGTCTTTTACATTTCTTCACATTTTGCAAGCAGAAGCACTGACTCTTGTTTAGTTTTGGACTGTCTTTTCAAGGATGTTTGTGTCTTAGTTCTCTAGTGCTGCTATAACATAAATACCACAAATGTATGGCTTTAAAAAACATAAATTTATTCTTTCACAGTTAGGAGGCTAGATGTCCAAATTGAGGGTGCCAGTCTAGGGGAAAACTTCTTCTCTGTCAGCTCTAGGGGAGGAATCTCCTTGTCTCCTTTCAACATCTGTGGGCCTGGCATACCTTGGAGATCTCCATGTGTTTGGGCATCAATCTTCCCCTGGGTATAGAAGGCTGTCAGTGCAGGAACCCTCAGTTCAAAGGAGATGTGCTCTGCTCCTACCTCTTCTTCCTTGGTGGTAGTCAGGTCCCTCTATGTCTGCATGCTTGCTTAATCTCTTTAACATCTCAAAAGACATGACTCAAGATACAGCCTAATCTTGTAGATTTGTATCCTTTCTCATTAACATAACTATCTCTAATCTTGCCCCATAAGATTTACAGCATGTAGGATAATTACATAAGATTAAAGTGGAAGATAATTATGTAATACTGAGAATCATGGCTTAGCCAAGTTGACACATTTTGGGGACAAAATTCAATCCACAACAGTTTGCATCATGAACAACCTTGAATGGTATAGTTTGTCCCTCCAGAACAAAGGACAGGTTTGCTCACTGCCCATTATAAAATACTTATTTATAGTTCAGAATCTTTATAGTTCTTGGTACTTCAAAATAATGATTGTTAAATAGATTGTAAGGAGCTCTGGTAGTGTAGTGCCTAGGGCACTTGACTGCTAACCAGAAGGCTGGTGGTTCAAACCCTGAAGGAAGGTTGGGCAATCTACTTCCATAGTGATATTGCCTCGGAAACCCAAGGAGGAGTAGCTATGAGTCAGGTCTGACTTGATGGCACATAACAACAGCAACAACAAATAGATTGTATGTGGAAAGATGTATTAGAACTTACATAGTTTTTTACAGTTTTTAAAAAGTTAATGTAGGATATTGTTTCTTCTTGTTTTGATGCAGGGTTTGTTTATAATGTCAGTCCATATATGGAGTATCATCCTGGTGGAGAAGATGAATTAATGAGAGCAGCAGGATCCGATGGCACTGACCTTTTTGATCAGGTAAGGTGCTGAAAGTAAGGAAAGTATTGTAATAGGAAAATGTTCTCATATTTAGTAATGCTATATTTGTAAAAGAAAGAAAAGAGTTGCATAAATTTCAGATATATTGACTGGAACTTTGAATTGTAGAAAGATGCTCCCAAGTAGCAGCTATTCATTTAACTTGCCTTGATTATTTCATTAAAATTTTAGAGTGTGTTTTAATTTTGTGTCAAGGATCTACTCTTAACTGCTTGCTTCCTCTTCTGCTGTCAAATGTGTTCTTGGCTTTCATTGGTGTTGATAATGGTGATGACTGACCTACGGAAAACCATGAAGACTAGAGGAAAGAACATTGGTATTTGTAACTAACTTACTGTATCACTTTAACAAGTCACTTAGC